GCTGGTGTTTTTCAATTCTTCCATTAATCCCGTCATTTTTTGTTGGAAAATGACTCCAATTCGACGCACTATACTCAGCATCCTTCGAAATACGTTTTTAAAAGAATCACCTGCCTGAAAGCATATATACTGTTAATTGACTAATTGAGGTTTGTAGACAAAACTTTCAACTGACTTTTAAACAAGATTAATATAACTTATAATCTTGAATAGCTCAAGGCAGGAACTCATGAGCCTGCAAGACGCCTGGAGATCATCTTTATTAAAACGAAGGTGAAGGAGTGTAAGTTTTTCGAATATTTAGTACAATTGACTGCAAATTTAACACTCGAGGAATTAGTAGAATGTACGATCATCACGCTTTTTAGTCTTGCCTCATAATCTGCAACCCGTTCTTCTTCGTACTTGGGTATGACACAAAAGGGAGTAATTTTGCCAGGCGTTCCTTGCGGAGACCGTGAAAACTGTGGGAGTGAGAATCGTTGGGTGACGGAAGCCACGCATGTTGTGCGAAGAAAGTTTAGGAAAGATTAAATTTTTAGAGCTTTTCTAGAACGTGTTGGTCCACGAATTCTATCTCTTGAAAGAGTTGATTACTTTGGAACAAGTGAACACTATTGAGTGGTCGAAAAAAAAAATAAGAATCTTTTTTAGCAAAACTGCGATGGTTGGGTGTTGCAAACTTTCATCGAATGCAAATGAGTCTTGTGATGAGCATTTGGTTGAAATTTATTTACATTTTCATTTTGTTTCTTTATTTTTTAAATTCAAATTTCATTTGATTTTTAATCCTTAATTACAATCTTTCAATTTTTATTTTGATAATTTTTTTTGTATTTTTATATTTATGTATATTTATTTTGATCTTTTTTTAATATGTTTTCAATTTTCTTAAATAAAACAGGCATTTCTAGTTAGTTTTTCTATGATGATAATGGGCCACCATACCCTTGAATTTTCGTGTATTTATACACGCGTTAGCCTCAGACGCAGGTGTTTTTAGGGGAGCTCGTTTTTCACTGGGGAGGGGTGAAAAACGAGCTCCCCTAAAAACGCCTGCGTGTGAGGCTAACACGCGTATAGCCTGCGACCGTAGACGTATTTCCGGTCGTCGCTAACACGCGTACTAAATCAATTCAGAAACAAATAAAAAGTAAATATCCCGTAGAATACTCGACGTCGATAAAGTAGGAAGTAAAAAGCCTTTAGCGTGTAAATCCTGTTTCGTGTAAAATTAATCGCCTCATTCACGAGACAGACTGCCGCCGTAAGAGCGTCCATGTGATAGTCTTAAGCAACCCACGATATCGGTACGATAAATTAGTCAAGTCAAGTCAAGTCAACTTTATTTAGCCCGACGACACCAATCAGTCAAAATCAATATTATCAATTAAAATCAATAAAAAAAATTGATTGATATTGATTAACTTAGCCAATCACTAAATATGGATAATCACTTAGGTATGCGTCTAAACGTTATTGATTTTCATCGATTGTGTTTTTCTCGTGGACCCTACAATTTTGCCTATCCCAGTCGGCATGATTGTGTATGTTGTTGATCGGTGACTTTTTAAAGATTTTTCTGATACATTCAGCAAATAATAGAAATAATTCGATAGATGTACTAAACAAAATTAAAGACAGGCTCGAGGACGTACGCATCTATTTAAAATACATTTTAGTTACGGTTTTTGCTTGTTGCCAATGCAGGAGGATAATAAATTGCTTTTTGTGCTGTGTTTCAGTTGCACTTTTTAATTTCTTGAACGGAGATCAGACCATGAAACTTAATTGGGTTTATTACCTGGGTTGCCTACGACGGTTTCCGGCCCCTGAAAAAGGACGGCTTGTCAGTCCGAAATATCGGGAACCTCAAGTCGCTTTTCTCTTTCAGGCTGTTTTGTTATTTATGTCTATATTTTTGCCTACGGCGGGCCCAGTTAAAAAATACTTTCGATTTTCTTTCTTGGGAATTTGTGCCCGAGTTGCATGGGGTGGTGGGAGCCGTCCGGCTCTCCAAATCCCGACTCTATTTCAGACCAATACCTATAAGGCAAATGTAAGGGAGTCCTCCGTCAAAACATGAACACTATCAATTATTAACTTAGTAACCCAAAGTGCGTTGCCTGATCCAAAAAGCATGTTTGTCCATCTTCAAAGAGTCTGCTTAAAGGGCCAAAACCTTAAGCCGGTTTGTTTTTCTGGGCTTTATTTTTTAAATTACCCGATCTTGAAAAAATGTAGAGAAATGGACAGTTTAAACATTATTTCCTACTTCTCTGTGGCTCCAAATACGGAAATTCGAGTCATTCATAAGTAAAAAAAATACAACTTCTACCATCCAGATTTTTGTCTCCTTGTGGACAATTTCGGCTTCAAATGATCATTTTGCGCTAGGGGACTGGGGCGAGTTTCAAGACAGCATTTTTTTCGCAATCGCTAGCCTGCGAGAGCATCCGGTTTTTTCGGCTCAAGTTTCCAGTTTCACCGGCTCAAGTTTCTAGTCGGGTGAAACTAAAAACTTGAGCCGAAAAAACGGATGCTCTCGCAGGCTACTTTTTCCCAGGGTATTATCAAAATCGCTCTGAAAGGCATTAGGACTGCAAAAGGGGCTATAATTACCTCTTTTTAGGCAACATGTGAAAATCACCGCTTCCTTTTCAAGTCGCAATGGTATGCGCAGAAGAGCTAAGACAGAAATCTAGAAATCCAGTTAGTTAGAGCCGGCTTAGACTGCAAAACAGTCGTTTCTTTTTTTTCTCAAAATTACTAAAGAAATCGGTAAAGCGTGGCGTAAGAGTCTTACGCGCGCGAGCCTCACACGCCCGTAGCGTCTCTCCCCAGTCTCACTCTCTGGTTTCAGCCTCGTTCCAGACCTTTTGTTTGACTGCTCGCGCGTACTTGACTACGCAAAAATACAGACTTTTTCGCAGTCTAGAGCCAGCTGTAAAACATGCAATTAATGAACTTACATTTTCGTTTTTGCCTCTTCCCAGAAACATTTGAAACCGACGTACCCTCGCTCACTGGTGCTTCTTCCATTGTTGAAAAAGCCAACAGTTTTCTTCCGAGCGCGAATCAGTCTTCGAGAGTAGTTCCGATGAAAGCCACATGAAGCTGCGCGCGCTCAAATGACTTGTTAGCATTCAAAAAGGCGTTATTATATATTAGCCTTCCTGGCTTAAATAAGTATCAACGGGTTTTTATACATGGTACGAGATCCAGGTAGGAGCAAGGTTTGGTGTAAGGCTAATTAGCTGAAGCAGACGAGTACTATTGGTGTGAAACCGCTTGCTTTTATTGGCGTTTTCCGACATTTTATTTAGCTTTATTAGTACCATCCTCGAGATCTTCGGCACTTAGAGTCTCAGGCTCGGATTTTTTACAAGTCTCGGTCTCCGCAGTCTCTCAAAGTCTCGAATTTACCATTCTATTGACCCCTCGATAAAAATCAATGAAAATCAACTATCACTCAAGACTGCGGCTTTGATTTTTTTTGATTTACAATATCAATCAATTAATTGTTATTGATTTTTATTGACCATTATTGATGTGTTTTATTGTTGATTTTGATTAAATGATATCGTCGAGTATTTGGCCAGGGTAACACTATCAGCCATTGGCTGGTATCAAAAGGGGCCTTGCGTAAATTACGACTACACAATATCAGAAGCAGGACAAAT